TGCAGGCTTGGGGCACGGATGAGTAAGGAACTCCTAGTTCGAGGCAAGAGCTGTGGCGTGAGACAGGCTGTTTCAATCTGGTGTGTGTAAATGCCAGGGGCAGCGATGTGGAGGCAGTGCCATCTAAGTAAGACTGGAAGGTCAAGGTCAAGAGAAGAGTTACTTCCAAGATCAGCTTTAGCAGTCTTAACTGATCCTTGGTAAACCTTAAAGCTTTTATTTCTCTTGATGACCTTGGTTTCTGATACTTTGTTCTGTCACCAGGCTTTATGCAGAAAAAAACTGATGTCTGTATTTTCCATCTTTTTACCTTTTTCCAGAGGAAACTTAATGCAAATGTAAAACTACAGCAAATAATATAGTTTGCCCACTAACTAACTCAATACTAATGTTATCTAGCCTTCCATCACCCACTTCTTTCTCACCACAATAATTTTCGTTTAAATCTGTGTTTGGTGAAACACAATTAATCCCTCCACAGTATCCACAAATATAGTACTAACAATTCTCAATTTATGATGGCTGCACTTGAAATGTTTTGGCTTTTGGATTGTATGAAGTGACATATTTATATTCTATGGGTAGACTACCTTGAATTTCCAGATTATCAATACACATTGTGATACCATCTCATGTGATAGAAAGCAAAATCCATGCGATCTTAAAGTTTTCACTGTAATGCACTGTACTGTTCAGTTGTTAGGTTAGGTGTTCCTATGGTTTGAATAAGTTTTGAGCCCCAACTGTTGAAGTATTAGAAACCTAGTGCCCAGTGTTGAGAAGCCATGGACCTAGTGCAAAAATGTTTGATCATTGTCCATACTGCCGTCTACAGAGTTTAATGCAACATCATGGAATCCCAGGACTTTCTGAGAGACAGGTTATTATAAAAGGATAGTTCAGTCTCCCTTTTTCTTGCTTCCAACTTACAATTTAATCTTTCCTTTTTATACACACATCACCTTACCTGTGATGCCATATGAAACACGACCCTCAAGGACCTCATTAGAGTCCAAATACATGGGAACTGATACTATCTTTATCTTAAAAGTAAGTGAGCTTGTGTGAACTCTTTCTGAGGAGACAAACATCTACTTGTCTCATATAGGGTACCCAAAAGGATTATAGAAACCAGTTTACCCATGTAGCCTATGAACCAAAGAGTTTAACTGGAGCTACTTACAGGAGGACTGGCAATTCATCAGAGAAAACATCTTCCCCATGAGCTGTTAACTGTCTCCACATCCTTGGGGTGAGAAGGGACCTGTGATACCTTCCTCCTCCCACGGATGAACCAAATCCTGTTAGGTCTCTGATGGATAACCACAGGTGTGAAGGCCTGCTATTCTCTAGAGACTGCACTCCATAAAGGGCCGAGGAAATGTTTTTCTTTATTTCATCACAACAATGGAAAACAGACTGCTTAGAAAAGTTTAAACATAGCATGTGTAGTTATTCCATAAAATAAAAAATATTCCCAGTCTCTCTAATTCTTATAAGCTCATAATTATCTAGACAGATTTTGTCTGAGGTTAAGTTCCTTCCTTGTCCACAATTTGTTTGTATCTCTCTTATATCCTGACAACTGTTGATTAACATTGTCACAAATTAAGGATTTGTGAAGTTCTACATCCTATCATTTTGTTTCATATTTATTAGTTGAAATAATTTTATAAAAGGAATTTCCTGTTATTAGCTATCTAGATACATTCCTTCCTAATTTTTTCTTTTTTTTCAATTTTTAAAATTTGAATTAGAAATAAGATTGCTTTACATGTCAATCCCAGTTCACTCTCCCTCCCCTCCTCCTCTGCCACCCCCCCCCAATTAAAACTCCACATACACCATGCCCTTTCTGCTCCCCTGGGAGGGTGAGGCCTTCCATAGGAGGGCTTCAGAGTCTGTCATATCCTTTGGGATAGAGTCTAGACCCACTCCCGTGTGTCTAGGCTCAGGGAGTATCCCTCTATGTGGAATGGGCTCCCAAAGTCTCTTCCTATGCTAGGGTATGTACTGATCTACTACAAGAGGCCCCATAGATTTCCAAAGGGTCTGGAAGGTTTCCAAAGGTTTCCCAGCTATCAGTCTGGGGACCAAGAGCTCCCCCTTGTTCAGGTCATATGTTTCTGTTGGTTTCACCAGCCTGGTCTGGACATCCTTCTCTGCGACTGGATTCCGGTTCAGTTCAGTGTTTAGCTGTGGGTGTCTGCTTCTACTTCCACCAGCTTCTGGATGGAGGCTATAGGATGGCATGTAAGTTAGTCATCAATCTCAATATCAGGGGAGGGCATTTGCCAGCCTACAGTCCACACTGCCAGAGAAGCTAGTAAACAAGGAGGACACTAAGAGAGACATACATGGTTCCCTGGAGAAGGGGGAAAGGGACAAGATCTCCTGAGAAAATTGGGAGCATGGGGGGAGGAGAGAGGGAGCTAGGAGAATGAGAAGGGGAAAAGAGAAGGGGTGAGAAGGACATGAGGGAGCAAGAAAGTTGAGTTGGGGGAAGAATAGAGGAGAGCAAGATAAGAGATACCATAAGAGAGGGAGCCAGTATAGGTTTAAAGAGGAATCAGGCACTAGGGAAATGTCTGGAGATCAACAAAGATGACACCAACTAAAAATCTAAGCAATAGAGGAGAGGCTTCCTTCCTAATTTTTTAACTCAGTGCTTTCCAAATTGAAGCCGATAAATTCCAGGGAATTTGCTGATGTGGTCTTATATTATTGATGGCATATATCTATAGGGTTTTATTATGATAAAAGCCTCCATACTACTATCTCAACAATGATTAAAGAATGTTATGGGCATATCTAGTTCAATCAGATAATGTCTAGTTCATTAAAATGAGTTTCTTCAGTTCTTGGAGTTCAGCCAGTAATCTGATATGATTGGTATTTGTATTTAGCACCATGATAGGCACAAATGGTGTTGCTTTAATTAACAAGGCTAATTAGAGAAAACAGCATACCAGCCAATATTTCAGTGGATTTTAGTTTGAATAAAATCCCTCATATCGAGGCTAGACAAGGCAACCCAATGGGAAGAAAAGTAGTCAGAAGTACAGGGGAAAGAGTCAAGAGACACACCTGCTCCCACAGTTAGGAATCTCATAAAACCACTGAGCTAATAAGAAATAAGAAATATGCAGAGGACCTGGTATAGACCCATGCACGCCTAGTGCTTGCGGTTTAGTCTCTGAGTTCATATGAACCCTGCTTAGCTGATTCAGTGGTCACTTATTTCCTGTTGCATCTCACCCATCTGACTCCTACAATCTTTCCTCTCCTTCTTCCATGGGCTCCCCCAATCTCCGAGGGGAGGGACTGGATAGAAGCCTCCAATTGAGACTCTGAGTAATGTCTGGCTGTAGATTTCTGCACAGGCTCCCATTTGCTGTTAGAGGAAGCCTCTCTGATGAGTGGACAAGGCACTGATTTTGAATATAACAGAATATTATTAGGAATCATTTCCTTGATTTTTTTTCTTCTGGCCAGGTGTGTTTGGGCTATCCAGTTTTCAGTTCCTGGCAAGTGTTAGGCATGGGTCCCTCTCAAGGTGTGGACCTTAAGTTAAACCACATCTTGGCTGGCAACTCCCAAAAGTTGTGTAGTCAGATTCTTTGTTGTTCTAGACTATGGGGTCTGTGGGTGAGCATTGGCAATTTCTTAATTTTAAATTTTCATGACCTTCATCCGGTATTTGCCTGAAGTCTGCTGGGCAGGCTTGTTTCTGATGTAGGTGTTTTGTAGGTTGCTGCCTGGCCTGCTGGGAGCAGTTTGGGGGTGGGGTTAGGGGTGCTGCTTTCTCTTAGACTTGCTGATAAAGTCTAGTTTTTCTGACTTTTTTCTTAGTTTGATTCTCTCCTCAGTCTTAAAAGATCGTTTATCCTAGCACTCCTTACCCTCCAAAAAACCTCATGTATCTGATTTGCATTAGGGTTTGCATCGATTTTAAAGTCTTCTTTATGCTTAATTTGTGGATTTATTTGTATTTTTTACTTGTCCAGCTAAATTAGCCTTACCATTTAAAAATGTTAAATAATTTCAGCTAGCATAAGAGGTCTAAAATTCTTTCTTTGAAAATGAAAGATCTACACATGCCCTAAATTTGAGAAATGGCTTTCTGTCCTGTTCCTGTTCCAAAGAGCTATTTTTTGGTTCACGTTCTTCACAGTCTGTCTGTTAAAGAGTTCCCCTAGTCATGTTATTTGGTGGTGCATGCATATAGACCAAGACTGGACCTCTAAGGGAGAAAGACAAGCTTCAGGGAATGGCCTTCGGAGCCTCCTGCCTGAGCTGCCCTTCTGTGGTTTTATACTTGGATCGTATGAGACCAGATAAATGGAGATTCCTCTGGCAGAACTACACATGGAACAACAATGAGATCTGCCCCCAAACACTCCAGCAAAAGAAGAAACAATAGTTCCTCCACAAACAAATAAATACTTTATAAAATAAGTCTCCAAGCTGGGTACATCAGGTGTCACCGATGCTGTTCTATTTCTCAGTTATCTGAGGGTGTCTTACAAACTGTTTGTATGAATTTCCAGCCTCATGGTATATTGAGTCCTTGTTGTCTAAATAACTAGATATTTTGTCTTTATGACACAAACCTCTTATATAGTTTTCCATTAGATATTTGGTAGAATAATCCCAATGATGTGTCTGCTGTAGAGGTGACATTCAGTAAGTATTCACTATAATTATTATGATTAGTTTTTGAAGCATGGAAATGGGTGAAAAAGATGGGAGAGATTATGAAGATCTAGAGACAGACATGTCTCTGCCTTGCTGGCTCTAAGTAACCTGAGTAGGTTACTTAACCTGTCTGAATTTGTCATGCCAAGTGTACAAAGTGGAGAAGATTGTGACCTCAAGGAATTGAGTGGTAGGTGCTCAAAAATACAAATTTCCTTCCTTTGTCCATTTTGGGCACATACTTAGGTTGTCACTTAGTTTTGTCACAATACAATTGTGAGACATGTGGTACACACTATGACATGCAGGTCTGCATCATTATCTTTAAGGTAAGGACAATAATTATAAGGGTTAAATTAATCAGTACATGTGAAATGCCTTGGCAGTAAGAGCCTTGTTTCATGCTGGTTAGTTTTCTGCCAAGATGACGATAGCTAGAGTCATCTGGGAAAAGGGAACCTCAAATGAGAAATGGCCTCCCTTAGACTGACCTGTGGGAAAGTCTGTGTGGCATTTTCTTTATTAATGACTGATGTGGGAGGGCCCAGCCCAATTGAAATGGTGCCACTGCTGGGCAAGTTGTCCTGGGTTGTATAAAAAGCGATCTGAGCAAGCTTTGAAAAGCAAGTCAGGAAGCAGTGCTCTTCCATGGTCTCTGTTTTGGTTCCTATCCTGAGTTCCTGCCCTGACTTCCCTCAGTGATGGACTACGATCAGGATGAATTGTAGGGGAACCTGTAGCCACGCCTGCTTAGGGGCTGGCTAAAGGTGTGCCTGACCACGCCGAGGGCTCTGTAAGTAAGGCTTTTCCCTATTAAATACCCTTGTATTTCTACCTGACTCCATATTGGTAATTTCCCACTTTAATGTATGAGTTAAATAAATGCTTTTCCCCTCACCTTGCTTTGGGTTGTAGTGTTTATATCAATAATGGAAAGCAAACCAAGACAATTGATATGCACTCATCTTGTTTCCCCTCAGTTAGTGAAGCAGTTGGTAAAACTAACTAAACTTAGAAAAAAGGTGTAATATAGGTGTTGGTGATGCATGTCTATAATCTAAGCTGTTGGAAGGTGGAGGCATGAGGATCAGGACTTCAAGGCCAATATTGCCTACACAGCAAGTCCGAGGAAAGCCTGGGCTCCATGAAACTGTTCAAAGAAAAAGACATAAGAGTATTAGTACTGGAGGACTTGGAGTTGGAGAAAAGAAAGGAAGAAAGAAAGAAGGAAAGAAAGAAAGAAAGAAAGAAAGAAAGAAGGAAAGAAAGGAGGAAAGGAAAGAAAGAAAAGAGAGAAAGGAAGGAAGAAAGAAAGGAAGAAGGAAGGAAGGAAGGAAGAAAGAAGGAAAAAGAAAGTCAGTCCTAGGTTTCTCCTAGAAATTCTGATTTACTAGGCTGTGAGTGAAGATTAGATATCATAGATGCTTTTTATGGCTTTCTGGATATTTTGTGCATAGCTCAAAATATGGTTTTCCCAGGCTGAGAACTCGTGCTCTAAGAATTAAACTTTGATCAGTGTTAAACTACACAATACATCAGAACTTCCCACTGGTTCTTCCAGACTTTCTGGTTTCTTACTGTTCCTCTGACTTAAAGACTCCAGAATTATAACTTTGTTCACAATGCTACCTTCTCCCATTTTCACACTGGGGAAACATCTCAATGAGGCACAGCAGAGTAGATTACAGTGCTCTCAGGTCCTCCAGTTGTACCCTACACACAGAAATCATCTCAATTTCTGCCTGAGGATAAGTGAGGCAATGCCTTGGAGAGCTTTGTGGTGTTTGAAGCAGAAACAGCCTCTGATGTTAGGCAGTCCCTACTATGGTGCAAGAACATGTATTATGCCTGCTTATCCTTAGCTTTGTACCTGAGGAAGAGATGACCCTAGTATATGCATATTATTCTAGACAGCATCTTAACCGATTCCTTGGAAGGATTTGGTGGTGTTCATGTCTGTGCCTGTCTAGACTAATTGAAGCAGAATCTCTGAGGATTGTGGTCTTGATGTATATATGTATACATATTTATTAATGCTAAATATTAACTTTTTGGTTGAGAATTTTATACATGAATACTATATTTGCATCATTTCTCTCCTTTCATCTTCTCCACTGCTTCCTATGTCTGCCCCACTGATTCTAAAATTCAATACCACATCTTTAATTACTATTATTGTTATATATTAATACATACATACACACATATATACATATGTGTATATATATGTATATATACAAGGTCTGACCACTTGTGCAGGGGGTCTCTTGACCTTCACAGGAAGCAGAGTGATGAGCCAAGGTAGGAAGAAGGTAATTCAGCACAGCATGACTCAGTAGCCATTGCTAGTTCAAACTTCGGGAGTCTGACCCCAAGTGGCTTTAGACATATTTAAACACAGCGCAATCTGGTGAAAACTATTCTTGTGATGATTAACCTAACCCCACATGTACAACAAAACATACCGAAATCTCTTTCTATTTGTAAGTTAAACACAGATCAGATGTGACAACATTGAAAGTCTTTGTAAAGTACATGTGACACTGTCCGTAAAGGTAGGTTCTCTAGATTGACTGAGAAAAACTAGTTTACCAGGATAGTCTAGAGGAGGGTCTGGTGCCAGAAAGTCTCCAGCCACACAAGTTGCAAAGGGTTACCAGGTTAGACGGCAACAAACATCTGACCAAGTATCTGTGGAGTAGGATGTTGAGTCCTTTGGACACATGCGAAGAAGTGGTATACTTGGCTCATATGGTAGATTTATTTCTAGCCTTTTGAGAATTCTGTACATGGATTTCCAGAGTGGCTGTGGCAGTTTGTAATTACACCAAGAGTGAATGTAGGCTCTCCTTTCCCACTCCACCATGTGTTGTCAGTTGTTTTCTTGATCATATCCATTCTGACTTGGGTGAGATTAAATAGTTTTCATTTGCACTTTCTTAATTGCAGGGGGTGTTGAACCCTTTTAAAGACTTTTTTGGACACTTACTTCTTCTTTTGAGAACTCCATGCCCAGACATGTTGGGCTATTTGTTTTCTTCTTTTTTGGTTTCTTAGTATATTCTGGATATGAATCCCCTGTCAGATGTGTGTCTGGCAAAGATTCTCTCCTATTATGTGGGCTTCCTTTTCATTTGGTTGATCGTTTCCTTAGCTGTACAGAAGCTTTTTAGTTTTTTCAAGTCCCACTTGCCAATTGTTGACCTTAATTCTTGGGCAAATGGAGCTCCATTCAGAAAGTCATTCCTATACCATGTCTTGTAGAACTTTCTAGCAGCTTTAGTATCGCAAGTTTCACATTGAGGCTGTTGATCAATTTGGAGTTAATCACTGTGCACAGTTACAGATTCAGGACTAATTTCATTATATTATGGTTTTCCCAGCACCATTTGATGCTATCTTATTTTCCAGTGTTTTTGGCATCTTTGTCAAATATCTGGTTGCTATAGATGTATACACTCATGTCTTCTATTAAGTTCCATTGATCTACATGTCTGTTTTATTTCTTTGCCAGTAACATGTTTTCCATGTTATATATCTGCAATATAACTTGAAACCTGGTACACTAGTCCCTAGAGCATTGTTATTTCTCTTTAGGATTGGTTTGGCTCTCTGAGGTATTTTATGGTTCTATATGACTTTTAGGATTCTTTTTTCTATTTCTGTGAAGAATGTCATGATGATTTTGATTTGGGTTGTGGTTGAATCTGTAAATTGCTTTTTGCACATTGGCCATTTTCACAATATAAATTCTACCAATGCTTGAACATGGAGAGTCTTTCTATCTTCTAGTGTATTTCTCAATTTCTTCCTGAACCGTAGCATGCCTTCACCATCCCCAATCTCCGGACCAACCTCAGGTCACATGTCCTGTAAACCAGCTCAGTTTAAGTCCCACTCTCAACTTTCCCAACATCCAGGCTTATACCCAGTCACAAATCCTTTGCCCCAATCTAGTCCAGTGAGTCCCCAGACACCAACATACCTGACAGATATTCAAATTCCAAACCCAGGCCGGGTGATGGCATTGAATATGTAGATTGCTTTTGGTAAGAAAACCAGTATCAGGGAATCATATTATATTTCAGGTACTTACTAGTATGTAAATTACACTAAAGTATAGCAGTATTTTGAAACTTGAATTTTCCATCCACCTTAATGTTTAAAAAAATCTTGGGATGAGAATAGTGAAGCACAAAAGTTCAACCCCTAAATATAGAGTTATTGACAGTTAATGCTGCTAGGTGAAGGAGCCAGTTTTCTTTAGTTGATCTGCCTTGGTGGGTTTACCATGCTCTAGTGGATGGCCCATGTATTTACGGGCTTCATTAATTGGACTTAATGATCTATTTTTACAAAAAGGAACATGAAGTTGTCATAAGGATGTAGAAGTGTCTTGGCAGATTTGGAGGGGGTTTAGCAGTGAATATGATCAAAATGCATTATATGCATGTATGAAAATCTTAAATAATAAATTAAAATTATATTAAAATATAAAACACTTAAAATTAAGAACCACTATATATTGCTAGAAGTACTTATTTATTCAAATAAATTAAGAAATTTTAGTCATTACTAAAACCTGTACATGAATTTTAATAGCAGTTTTAGTCATAACTGCCAAACTTGGAAGGGGCTATTCATTTGTCTAAAAAATATTTTAACTATAATCACATTGTATCTGTATTTATTAAATTAAATTAAGGTTAGTTGTGGTTTTACTCTCCACACTTGATGTAGCAATGGCGTTTTTTCACATATGCACAAGAGAAGAGGACATGTATAATTTCTAGGGTGTGTGCTAAAATCAGAATTTCTGTGTGGACTCTCAACTATTCTACTCCTTGTAAAATTAATTGGCAAAGAAATGATGCCAATTTACACTTATATTAGCAGAGGATAACTTCTCTTTTTATTTAATAAGAACTAGTGGTCAGAGAATCCAGAAGACAAGCCAAAATCATTCCATAGACTTAGGAGAAGAATCTATGCTCACTGCAGTGAGACATAGTGAGTCTGACTCTTAGATGGGTTGAATGATTTAAGGGTAGACTGGAAACATCTGGGATCTTTAATGGAGATATGATACTGGCAGTGTTTGGATCAGCTTCACAGTTTCTCCCAGAGCTTCCCTTTAAACCACATAAGAAAAATCCACAGGCACCTGCTCTAAATTGGGGGATACTAGTTTTCTGAGCTGAGGGCATTCTAAAATCCTCTTTCATGATTGTGCTTGGCTCTTACCTAGTACTAGACCCACAGAATGATTCTAGATTGCATCATACTTGTTATATTGATGGCATAATACATTTGAACAAAGGGTTGCACATAATATAAAAAGAAAAGTACACTGTGCCAGACCATCTTTTCCATAGCATTTGCCAATAAAAGGCTATTTCTTAGGAAATATTCTGTGTTGCAGTCAGGGCATGCCAACACAAAAGAGAGAGCTGAAGAAGAAAGAGCTGAGGGGATCATGAAGACCAGTGACTCAACCTAGAAGCGATATGTACGAATTCCTTTCTCAGTCAGTTAGTAATAACTAAAACCACAGTTTCCTTCCACTTGCATGAGAGGCTGAGAAGGTGTGTGAAAAAACACACAAGTGTTACATGAGTGTTAATGAGCTCTCTCAGACTCTTGATCCTCTGAAATCAAATATGTGGAAAAAATTCATACACAAGGCCACATCATTTCAAATTTTGGACAATCAGGTCAAGGGTTCATATCATTTATACTTAAAGTACAAGCAATTGATGAAGTGAATACTATCTTTCTAAGAAATCATTTTGAGCTTTGTGTTAAAAACCAAAAAAATTTTGCTTAATAGTTGTGAGATCTAGGAAAGTTATTTAACATCTATAAACTCATACTTCAATTTAAAATGGAATATTAAGCCCTTATTCATAGGTATGCTGTGAAAGTTGGACTAGAGATGGCATTTAAAACATCTCCCAACAAAATCAGAAATGAAAAGGGGGACATAACAACGGACACTGAGGAAATCCAGAAAATCTTCAGGTCATACTTTGAAAACCTGTACTCCACAAAATTTGAAAATTTAAAGGAAATGGACAATTTTCTGGACAGTTATCACTTACCAAAACTGAATCAAGAACAGATAAGCAACTTAAACAGAACTATAACCTCTAAGGAAATAGAAGCTGTCATCAAAAGTCTCCCAACCAAAAAAAGCCTGGGGCTAGATGGATTCACTGCAGAATTCTACCAGAAATTCAAAGAAGTGCTAATACCAATACTCCTCAAATTGTTCCACAAAATAGAAGCAGAAGGGACATTGCCAAACTCTTTTTACAAGGCTACAATAACCTTGATACCCAAACCACACAAAGACACAACTAAGAAAGAGAACTACAGACCAATATCCCTCATGAACATTGATGCAAAAATTCTCAATAAAATACTGGCAAATGGAATACAAGATCATATCAGAAAAATCATCCACCATGATCAAGTAGGCTTCATTCCAGGGATGCAATTATGGTTCAACACACGAAAATCCATCAATGTAATCCACCATATAAACAGAAGAAAAAAAACCCCACATGGTCATCTCACTAGATGCCAAAAAAGCTTTTGACAAAATCCAATACCCCTTCATGATAAAGGTCTTGGAGAAATCAGGGATAACAGGAACATACCTCAACATAATAAAAATAATATACAGCAAGCCAACAGCCAACATCAAATTAAATGGAGAGAAACTTGATCCAATTCCTCTAAAATCGGGGACAAGAAAAGGTTGTCCACTCTCTCCATAGCTCTTCAATATTGTCCTTGAAGTTCTAGCTAGAACAATAAGACAACAAAGGAGATCAAGGGAATACAAATTGGAAAAGAAAAAGTCAAGCTTTCACTGTTTGCTGATGATATGATAGTCTACATAAGCGGACTGAAAAACTCTACCTACAGATGATAAACACCTTCAGCAAAGTGACAGGATACAAGATTAACTAAAAAAAAAAAATCAGTAGCCTTACTATATATGGATGATAAAAGTGCTGAGAAAGAAAGAGAAACATCAACCTTTATAATTGCCACAAACAACATAAAATGCCTTTCGGTAATGCTAACCAAAAAGTGAAAGACTTGCATCATGAGAATTTTGAGTCTTTGAAGAAAGAAATTAAAGATACCAGAAAATGGAAGGATCTCCCATGTTCTTGGATAGGTAGGATCAACATAGTAAAAATGGCAATTTTGTCAAGAAGAGAAATGCTGAGACATGAGACATATTGACTATAAATTTATTATAAGACCCAGCAGAATGGGGAGACTAAGAAGAGGAGGAGGGGTAAATGGCTGACTGCCATGGCCGGTCGCCATAGAGAGAGCGCATAGGTGAGAAAGAGAGTAGAAAGGAAGCTGAGAGGAAACAGAGAGCAGAAACAGAGAGCGTAAATGGGCAGGGACCTATCTTTTAAAGGGGTCCTCTGCACCTGCGTGCAGAATTAGTTCCCATGGAACCTTGGGCTGACCAGGGTACTGCCTGTTCCACCAGGTAACAGGGGCAGGCCAGCATAATGCCTGCACC